ACATATATACATACATAACATTAATAGCAAGGAAACGCATATAGTTTTTCTATGCAAAAAACGTGTATTAATTTATATATATATATAAAAATTAAAAAAAAATCATGCACAAGTTGATTTAAAGAATGATTTTGCATAAGGCATGAGATATGTAAAAAAGAATTACACTTTAAACGTGCAAATGACACGTTATTTTTTCTCTCCCTTATGTGGTTTACGTGGACTAAAATCTACAAGGTTTAACAAACCAAATGTTTCCATTGCCAATCGTAGGTCTGCCTCTTCCTGCAACCTTTGTCTCCTTAATAGCTCCTCTCTCTTTTCTTCCGGAGTCAACGTTTCTTCCTTTTCCTTAGCTTTTCTTTCAGCTTCCTCTTTCGCTTTTTTCTAAAGAAAAAAATAAATGTTTTATGTGAATATGTAAGATAATTGATCATTTAATATATATCCATACGATATGTATAATTATAAAAATTAATAGATAGACTAACCTCGCGTTCTTCAATCATTTCTGCGAGAGCTTTCTTGGGTTTTGGTTTTGCTTTAGGTTTGGTGATTTCGGCAGGTTTATCTACATCCTTCTTCTCTTCTTCAATATCTTCCCAGCTATCCTGTTTATTCATTATTTATGAAGACTAAAATAACTATAAATCTTACACAAATACCTATCATATTTTAATTATCATTTAATTATTACTTAATATTATAAACAATAGAAAATCTCATTATTTAAATTATTAATAACAATATATGCAGTAAATTAAATGACTAAAAAATATGAAAAATATTCTAAGTATGATTTGATTACCATATATTAATGCATTTTAATCTGTACTTCCAGTAACTTATAATATAAAGATAAGTTGGTAAACAATCAAGATTATCCTTGATAAAGTAAACAATAATTTTCAAATAATAAATAAAGGCCAGCTTGAGTTGTAAGAGTCAACATGTGTGTTTGCTGTAGGTTAAGTTCAGAATGACACACATAATCACAAAAATACATCGAATAATGTATATCTATTAGATAAAAATGATTATACCTTAACATCTTCATCTTCGTCCTCCCCCTCCCATTTGTTTGACCTCATCGCGAGATCAAATTTCGGTTCGACATTGTCCACATCTGTAAAGTGCACGAGGTTAAAATTAATACTGCATCTGATCACCCATTTGTTATTAAGGCTATCGAAATTTTTAATGAAAATAAACTATTAACTATCACAGATACACACCCCACTCATCATCCATGATTAAAACAGATTATTTTGCAACTATTGTTCTTATTAATAAATTTGAAACTCTTCGACGTAACGCAAAAGAACCAAGAACGGCCGAAATCAAAGCAGTCATACTAAAATTCCTGTGGATACAAGAAGATCAAGCTTATATAGGGTAGAAAGTTTCGCCATAAACGAAATATCATATAGATGAAACAGGTAATTAAAATTTTCAATTTTCATCGCGGCAACTTTTGTCAGAACTATTTTAAAAAATAAGATCATAGCGTTAATATTGATAATTAATAGCTATTAAGTAAGACATGTTTCAAGTATTAGATAATTTATTTCTGACATCGTTGGTAATGTAGAAAATAACTAAAATGACTGGGATGTGCCATTTGTACAATGCAAATGACCTGACTTAGGAAGACCTATGTTCGATTGGCGCTAGTGTGTTGTCTGCTGATGTAGATGATTGAGAAGTACACGTGGTGTGTAAGAAAGTTTGGTCTATATTATCTACATTTTAAAGTTATTAGATTTTTAATGGTGACGCAATAATGATGCTGAAATTGAAAGTAAATTCTAATAATCCACCAACAGGTATGAACTTTATCTTGTTTTCCACTTTTTTTTGTAACTTAGTTTATTTTTTTATTATTCATACCCGAATAAACATATGTGAATTAACAATATTTCATATTGCATATATAAAATATAATAATAATAATTTTCTTTATATACATTTTGCTTAATTTTATTTAATTTTTTTGTTCTAGATGCATTGATAACAGCAGAATTAATTAATTGTAAAAACAAAGAAATCGATGTGGTATGGTGTAATGACTGGAAAGAAGATGGAAATCTTAAATTATTGGATTCCAATGATCGATTGTTAGCAAAAAGTAGCAACGAAGTTGCTCGTTATATTGGTAGAACTATTGCTAAGGATCTATATGGTATGTTCAAATATAAAACATTTCTTTTGGAAAGTATTCAATATATTTTCATTATATCTTTCTTTTTATAGGTAATTTAGATATTCGTGGCAGAACAGAAGTAGATCATTGGTTGTCATTTGCTATAGGACCATTATGTCAAATACCGGTTAAAAATGAAACTTTTTCTTATTTAAATAAAATATTAATGACAAATACATGGTTGGCAAATAAAAAGTTTACAGTAGCAGATATTTCTGTTTTTTGCGCTCTTTTAAGTTTATCATACTTGGAGAAGTATGAAAAATTATACCCTTGCATTACTAGATGGTATAAACAAATGCTTTCCTTCCCTGCTGTTACTCAAGCATTGTCCTCCATTGAAGATAATAAAATAACATTAGAAAATAATATTCAAGTTGAAGATACAATGAATAAGAAAGTGGGTGTAAGGAAACAAGAGGGTAAATTTATTGATTTACCAGGGGCAGAAATGGGAAAAGTAAGCTAAACGTTATAATTAATTTCAACTTTTATATTTGGTTAATTTTAAAATGTTACTTGTCTTGAAGTTCCTATAGTGCATATATTCTTTTTAATATTAAATATTTAAATAGGTTGTTGTACGTTTTCCACCAGAAGCAAGTGGTTATCTTCACATTGGTCATGCTAAGGCAGCACTTTTGAATCAGTATTATGCGGAAACTTTTAAAGGCCAATTAATTATGAGATTTGATGATACGAATCCTGCTAAAGAAAATTTAGAGTTCGAAGAAGCTATACTAGAAGATATAAGATTATTAAATATTAAGCCTGATCGATTTACTTATTCATCAGATTATTTTGAATTAATGCTTGATTATTGTACAAAGTTAATTAAAGATGGTAAAGCTTTTGTAGATGATACACCCGCTTTGCTTATGAAGGAACAACGTGATCAAAAGTTGAAGTCAGCAAACAGAGATAATTGTGAGTAACATTAATTTTATTATGTTTTATATTTTATATCATCGTATGCTCAAAATCTAAATGAAACTTTGTAGCCATTGAGAAGAATTTGGAGTTATGGAATGAAATGCAAAAAGGTAGCAAAAAAGGTCAAGAATGCTGTGTACGAGCCAAAATAGATTATGAATCAGTAAATGGATGCTTACGAGATCCAACAATATATAGATGCAAACCAGAACCGCATCCCCGTACTGGAACAAAATACAAGTATTAAATAATTATTTTATTTCTATAACCATATTTTTCTCCTATATGTAATTTTACATAATATATTATTTAAAATATTTAATATATTATTTTTGCAGAGTATACCCAATATATGATTTTGCTTGTCCAATTGTGGATGCTATTGAAAATGTTACACATACATTGCGTACAACTGAATATCATGATAGAGATATTCAATATTATTGGATAATCGAAGCATTGGGATTAAATCGGCCGTATATATGGGAATATTCGCGTTTAAATATGACCAATACTGTTTTATCTAAACGTAAATTAACATGGTTTGTTGAAAATGGTTTAGTGGATGGTTGGAATGATCCACGTTTTCCTACTGTAAGAGGTATCTTAAGAAGAGGTATGACTGTAGAAGGTTTGAAACAATTCATTATTGCACAAGGCAGTTCTAGATCAGTTGTTTTTATGGAATGGGATAAGATATGGTCTTTTAACAAGAAAGTAATTGATCCAATTGCAATTAGGTATGTAGATAGCATATACAAATAAATTAATAAGTATTCTATATATATATGATTTCTATTTCTAAATGACTTTTATTATATTAGGTACACTGCATTGGATTATGATAATACTGTTCCAGTTAATGTTTTGAATTCCAAAGAAGAATGGGTAACGGTTCGAAATCATCCTAAAGATCCATCGTTAGGTACTAAACGTGTACGAGTAGGTTCAAAATTATTAATAGAAAAAGATGATGCAGAAGCACTAATTGAAGGACAAAATGCAACATTCGTTAATTGGGGTAATTTAAAAATTGAAGCAATACATAAAAAGAATGGTGGTATTGAGAGCATAGATGCTAGACTTAATTTAAGCGACGAGAACTACAAAAATACATTAAAGATTACTTGGCTTCCTGCACCACAAAACTCGAAGCATTTGATACCATGTTATGCTGTTTATTTTGACCATATTATAAGTAAACCAATTTTGGGAAAAGATGATGATTTTAAAGACTTTGTTGCTAAAGATACAAGAGTGAGTTCATTATTTTTGATAAATTATTATTAATGTATTTAATAAAGAAATGGAAACATATTATTGTAAACTTATAGGTAGAAATACGAATGTTGGGTGAGTCAGAATTAAATAGAGTCAAAAAAGGGGAAATAATTCAATTGCAAAGGAAAGGATTTTTCAGATGCGATATACCTTATGCTGACAGAAGTCCTTTCTGTTGCAAAGAGCAACCTTTAATTCTATTTCATATACCAGATGGTCATACTGCTTCAAAATCTGTGAAAACTAGTGCTGTTGATATTAAAGGAAGTACTGTTGATAAAAAACCAAGTGTTTCAAAGGCTAGTAGCAAAGGAAATGCTGTTTATAATAAACCAAGTCTTCCAAAAAAAGTAAAAATTTTTTACTACTAAATTAAATATATTTATTATTAATTAAATGCATATTTCTTAATTCGAAATATTTTTTTATTTCTTTTATAGATTGAACAAGAAGATGTGAATATAATAAATGATAAAATTATTGCTCAAGGTCATATAGTACGTCATTTCAAATCTGAGAAAGTAGATCAATTTATTGTAGATGCAGAAGTAAAAACTTTACTAAAGTTAAAAGCTGATTTTAAAGCTGCCACTGGCAAAGAGTGGAAACCAAAATCATCTTCAAATGAAATAATAGATAAGGGTGAATATGAAAATACGATCAAACAGTTACTCACGTTAATGCTTAATGCTAAGATGGCAGAAGTTACACAAAAAAAGAACACAAATATAAAAGAAACCAATATGAATCATACAGTAAATAATGAGGAAATTCTTAAAAATAAATCTGATATTGTATCTGAGAATAAAACTAATGATAAGTTATCTGAAGAAATACAGAAACAAGGTGACAAAGTAAGACAATTAAAATCTGAGAAAGCAAGTAAGGATGTCATTGATCAAGAAGTAAA